AAGTTCAAACTGTAGTACGGCATTGTTTTGGTTTTACTCTTTTCCTGATTTTCTGGTTATGTTTTCTTTTGCAGTATAGCACTTGGACAGAAAAGGAAACACATTTAAAAGGAAAAACCAAATTATTGAAACCATTTGTATTTCTGCTCCATACTGAGGTGGAAATTTCTATACTGCTTGACGTGGGTCAGAGCACATATTGGTTCTTGATGATTTGGAACGCCTGAATTAAATTTATTCTAAACACCGTATCGATGGTATTTCGAACCTGGATTTGCTTTTGACCAGGCTGGATCTGAGCTGATGTGTATATTCTGTATAGTGTCAAAATCTGTTTTTAGATAGCACTTTGTAAGTGACTGGCTTTACTGTATAAAAGAAAATAAAAATAAAAGGAGTGAATTGCAATAAGTGTGGGCTTCAAGTGTTTCCACACAGTGAAATAATATCTAAAGTAAATGCTCAAACTTGCAACCCTATTTGGTAAAAGATGCTTCGATCAAAAATTTGCCAGTACAGCAACCTGTTGGTGCCACTTTAACTAAAACCTCTCAGCTTTCTGCTATTATTAGAAAATATAAGTGTCAACTAATGTAGTGGCTTTTTGAAACAATTATAGAGTAAAATATCAAAATGTGTTCAAATGCTCCAAACTAGCAATACTGCCTTTATCACCATGGATAGAGGGAGCTCATCTGCACGCTCCCTGGATTCAAACCTGTGACCTGTCGGTCTTCAGTCCTGCCGGCATGAGAGTTTAACCCATTGCGCCACCAGGGGCTCCTATCTATATAGATAAGTCTATATAGATATCCTCATGAGAGGGTATCAAGAAGGAATCTCAACCTTACAAAAGCCAAAAAGCAGGTGACTTGTTAACAATACATAATGTTTCAACATCTAAGACTTATCAGGTTATCCATGAATTAATTAAAAAAAAGATAGAAAAAAACAAGTGTAGCAGAGCCATTCAAAAGAGTGGTAGCAAACAGCCCGGCAGCATACTGGATATACTCAACTATAAGCCAAGCTCCTATATAATTCAGGGGCAAGTTAGGGGGCCTAAATTCAGAATTTTGGTATGGCCCATAGATAAGTCAAGGATCATTGTACAGAGAGGGGAAAGCGCCTATGACCAGTCAGAGGGGCAGCCCTGTCCAGGCATTCATAGAGCCCAAAGTGGTGCCCTGGGGGGGGGGGGGGGGTTGGGTCTGATTGAGCTCTTGCCTTTTGTCACTTTACTCAGGGAAGAAGATAATTCCCTTTTTGATAAGACTTAAAATACAGTATTCAGGTTGACACGGGTTGATTTTTTTAAGTAACACTTCTCGAATTATACATCGGTATATAGGGGTAAGTAATTCCTCAAGCTGAAATACTGATAAACATATTACCAATTTGCAAAGGAGCTCTGGATCCTAAATAAAAAGTCTGGCAGTAGGCAAAACCATTAAAGCAGAGCTTTCCAAACAATGTGACTTTAATGTGTTGGCTTTAGTATATAGGTGTATCATGAAAGTAACAAGAAACCTCTGAGTATGCAAAATAAGCAGTAGATCACATTTATAAATATATAAATGATACATGTTCTGTCTCCATACACTTCATTATTGCAATTTATGTGTCCATATCTCTTATAAGGGATTGGCTTGACCTTCGGTTTGCTAGTAAAACTGAATTACTCTGTTGTGAAATTATGCACATCTAAGACTGGATTCAGATTCTGAATCCAAATTATCTGCCTTGAACAGGAGTATGTGTCTACAGTGCCATACAATCCAGCTCAAAGCAGATAATCTGGGTTCAAAAACTGGATTATATGCCAAATCCAGTTCAAAACATTCATTCATTCATTAGGTGTGGGATGGGGCGTAAGAAGTGTGTCATCAACAGGAATTATTTGGAAAGAAATCTCAAAGGAGAAAAGCCTGATATAATTTGGTATGAGCAGGGTGAGAAATACCGGGTTTGGTATTGATATTGTAGAAGGAGGGCAGTTTAAGGGCCATTTAACCCAAAGGAGTTTCCCAGAGGGCAGCTCTCTTCCTGAGGCATTGATTGGGCAACAGGCCCCAAGGGCTGGCTCTCGGGGGCGGGGGGGGGGAGTTCTAAGGGGCAAAGGTTCCGTGGCAGTTGAAGCCTCGGCGGGGAGAGGAGGGGCACCAGGAGGTCCCAGATCCAGCTATTGACATCCGGGTTTAACACAGGTTGGGAGCAGTTGCTGGTTTACCCCACATTCGTTTTACAATCGAGACACCTTGGTAAACCGTGTATATTCACACTTGATTCTTCCAGGTAGTTTGGTGTGCAAAAGGTACGTCATGTGGGTTAATGCTCCTTCAAACTGGCTGGCCACCCATCCATTTAGTTCAATGGTTTCCAACCTTTTTTTGATCAGGGACCTCTTTGACCAGGGACCACTCTCCAACATTAGTACCCAAAGGGTTACGAATCAGTTTTTGGTCAACTTTAGATTTGGTTTGGTTATCTAGAGTGTTGATTCCTAAAACTGCATTGAATAGACCACATCAGCTCTAGTTTCTGATACAGAACATATGCTATCCAGTAGTCGCCATCTGCTCACCCACCAAAAAACATATTTAATAATCTAGAGGCGCTGAACCACTGATTTAGTCAAAGCATGCTTCAAAGTTTTAAAAGGATTAATGTTCACAATATTTTAATCTGTGAAGTGAGGCAAAGTAATTTGTTTTAATGGCTGCATCTCTAAGCAGAGGAGGCTGATCATTGGTGCCTTGATGGTGTTCATAAGACGGATCTTTTGTTGTTGTTCATTCGTTCAGTTGTTTCCGACTCTTCGTGACCTCATGGACCAGTCCACACCAGAGCTCCCTGTTGGCCGTCACCTCCCCCAGCTCCTTCAGAGTCAAGCCAGTCACTTCAAGGATGCCATCCCTCCATCTTGCCCTCTTCCTTTTTCCTTCCACTTTCCCCAGCATAATTGTCTTCTCTAAGCTTTCCTGTCTCCTCATGATGTGGCCAAAGTGCTTCAACTTTGTCTCTAATATCCTTCTCTCCAATGAGCAGTTGGGCTTTATTTCCTGAAGTATGGACTGGTTGGATCTTCTTGCAGTCCAAGGCACTCTCAGAACTTTCCTCCAACACCACAGTTCAAAAGCATCTATCTTCCTTTGCTCAGCCTTCCCTAAGGTCCAGCTCTCACATCCATAGGTGACTACGGGGAATACCATTGCTTTAACTGTGCGGATCTTCGTTGCCAGGGTGATGTCTCTACTCTTCACTATTCTATTGAGATTGGACATTGCTCTCCTCCCAAGAAGTAAGCATCTCCTGATTTACTGGCTGCAGTCCATGTCTGCAGTAATCTTTGCACCTAGAAATACAAAGTCTGTCATGGCCTTCACATTTTCTTCCTCTATTTCCCAGTTGTCAATCATTCTTGTCATAATCTTGTTTTTTTTTAATGTTTAGCTGCAACCCAGCTTTTGCACTTTCTTCTTTCACCTTGATTAGAAGGCTCCTCAGCTCCTCCTCACTTTCAGCCATCAAAGTGATGTCATCTGCATATATAAGATTGTTAATGTTTCTTCCAGCAATTTTCACCCCAGCCTTGCATTCGTCAAGCCCCACACATCGCATGATGTGTTCTGCATACAAGTTGAATAGGTTGGGTGAGAGTATACAACCCTGCCGTACACCTTTCCCAATCTTGAACCAGTCTGTTGTTCCATGGTCAGTTCTTACTGTTGCTACTTGGTCCTTATACAGATTCCTCAGGAGATCTTACTCACTATGCAACAGTGGTTGGGGTTTGCCTGAGGTAGATTTCACTTCAAATAGAAATAGGGACCCATCATCCTTTAAAGATGCATTAGATTTTAGCTCCCAGAAGCTATGGCCAGCATGGTAAGTCATCATGAAAGTTGTAGTCCAAAACAGTGGTTCTCGTGCTTTTGTCTTTTGGATTATTTGGACCTCGCCTCCCAGAAATAGTCAGGAATGCTGGGAGCTGAAGTCCCCAAGGGCCACAGTTTGAAGAGCACTGATCTAAAAACAATTGAGAGAACTGAAGCTTTCTGACACAGACATTGATATTAAGGTATATTGCAGATGAGTCCTTAGGAAATATGACATTGCTTAATAATGGCAGGACTTCTATAAGATGGAGAACACATAATTTTAAGGTCTGTTTTAAAATCTTACCTTTACTAAGTGTAACCCCAGGCAAAGTGTAACCCCAGGATTGCAAACAGTCTCAAGGCTGTTCTTGCAAAACTTCAGCCATCCAAACTTGCTGGCTGGCTCCATCTCCTGAAAGCTTCCAGAAGCAGCAATTTGTAAAGTTCTGGTCAGTTCCCTGGTGTTTTTATTAGCACTTGTGGGTGACCATGCAGTCTCTGAATAGTCCCAGGAGTGTTTTCCCCAACTTGCAGTTTCTAAGCCTTGCATTAAAAAAATACTTTTATATCTAATTAATCCAGTTATTGGCTATATGAAATAGACACACTATGGGCTGTGTGAGGCTGTGAAACTATTTCTCCCCAGTTAAAGTCTATGTATATATTCAAATATTAATATCATCTTGAGAAGCTCTGGACTATGCCTTTTTAAAAGTTAAATTCAGCATCCATGTTTTAAGAAACAAATTATTTGAAATATTTTGTGTTTGTCATCTAAATTAAGATTCGATAATAGGTGTCAGAAGATATTACAACTTACTGCAAGAGAGGATCTTCCAGATGTCTTTGGTCTACAGTTTCCATGAGTCTTTGCATCATAGCCAAAAACTTATGGGAACTACAGTCTAGGGATTCATCTATACTGCACCCCTACACTGCCTCCCCAAACAACAAATCCCAGGATTCCATTGCAGAGCTATGGCAGTTAACGTAGTGTCAAAGTAGTGGGCTTCTATGACAATGGAGATTTGAACCTTGGTCTCCCAGAGTCCTAGATGCAACCCAGAACAACTTGGAAGGCAGTAGTTACCCATTCTTACATTAAAGTCTGACAAACGTTAGGAATGATCCACTGCTTTGTTGCAGAAGGGGCCGACAGCTTGGTGTCATTGCTAGTGAGTTGATTAATCTACTCCAACAGTTTATTTCCTTCAATAACCAAGCCTTGACACAATGGGATACTTTTCTTCAGGTGAGATGTCGGAAAAGCTAAACCGTTGTCGTAAGGAGCTTGCTGCTGCTATTGGCCGAGCTATGGAAGACCTCTCCGTTCCTCCCCTGGCTTCCCAAGACCCCGCTGCTGACCAGAGCTCTGATTTACCCACGGCACGGCCCCCAACGCCCCCCAACGAAGAACCCTCTAATCAGAAAGGAGAAAGCACCCCACCCACTGTGTATTGCCCTCAGGTCTCCTTACCAGTGGCCTCTACTTCTGAAAAAGAGAACCCCCTCTTCAGGCAAAATCTAATTCCAGTAACTGTGGCCCCCAACATTCAATACTCAAAACGGGAGCCCCTGTCAAGCAAGGAAAACACATGGCTACATCCTCCAATTTTCATAGCCGACAGACAGTTTTTTCTCAGCTTAGAAGACAGCGAGGGGAGAAAACAGCATCTAAGGTATGCTTTATCTGTCTCAGACCTAATTTCTTTTTTGTGATGAAAAGCATCTGAACAGCCAATTTAAAGAAATATGAAATTTGCTTTTTTTCAAAATTATTGTGACCATTTTATTGTATTAGCTGAAGTGATACCAACATGTTAAGTTGTATCACAATTTTATACTTTTCTACTTAGAAGCAAGTTCCCCTTTCCTGGCGGGGATGAGGGACAGGGCCTTCTCTGTAGTGGCCCCTTCCCATGGACATTAGCTCAGCCCCTTCGTTAATGGTGTTTCGAAGAAAACTAAAAACCTGGCTGTTTGAACAGGTGTTCAGATAAATAGTGCAACTGAACAATGAATATAGGAAACGGAATTATGGATGACGAATTGGATCACGATTTTAGTCACGAGACGTTAATGTGTTGTTATTGATGTGTCATTATTTTGTATATTATGCTGTTAATGGTTTTAAATATTGTATGTTGTACGATTGACTTTTTTTGCTCTTGTTGTGAACGGCGTTGAGTCGGCTACGGGCTGAGAACCTGTGGTATACAAGCAAAGTAAATAAATAAATAAATAAATAAATTTATGAAGGACTACAACATTAAGCCAGACTTTTGTTGGTGACACATGGCAGCAATGACCATTGATGGACATTGGGTAGGGAGGAATCCACTGCCTCCTTCTACAACGCCTGCTCCCTTGCCAAAACGGCATCTCAAAAGAACCAGGGTATTTCCTAATAACAATGGGTGGGCAAGGAGGCACCCAGCAACACTCCAGCTTCATTTGGTGAGTAGAGATAGCGGTCAGCCACCTGGATCACCAGCATTACGTCCTATAAGTCTCACTGAAGTCATTGCTGTCCCTTCGCTCAGCAGCCCAATTGCAGTTGTCCAGCACCTGGACACCTGCTCCCTCAAGCTGGTAACTGGCACTGTCAAATTGTGTTGCACACCTGCAGAACGGGAGTAGTAACAGAGGCAAGACAGTCTGTTCCATTGCTTACTGTTCACTATCAGCTGCAATCTGTTAAAATTTGATGCCACTAAGAATGCCAATAATGTTTTTGGCAGTATTTTGTTTTGGATACACATTTATTTGACCATCTTGTCTTCTGTGTGTCATAATTTTAAGTCCCATTTCCACAAACACAGAAACACTCGCATTCTTAGGTGCAAATAAAAAATAAAAAGTTTGTTAAATAATAGTAAACAACTTCATTACATATGGGACAGGACTGATTATGTTACTCACATTACATCTTTTCCCAGATGTAAATAATGCAAATTAGTTACTAAACCATAAATCAGAAAACCCAACTGAATATGGAGACTTAATACACCATAGAACATACTTTTTTGAAAAAGGTTGATCTTTGATTGCTGTTTTTAAATTGTTTTAAATTGTTTTTAAATTGTGTTCAATTTTAGCCTGTTCTTGTAAGCTGCTCCGAGCCCCAGCGGAGTGGTGGCATATAAGTTCAAATAATAAATAAATAAATAAATAAATAAATAAATAAATAAATAAATAAATAAATAATAGCATGGATACTAGCCTTGTATTGTCCAATTAAAGGTGTGTTTGTGGTTTTTAGCAAAACCGATGAAAGGTCCATGAAGTCTGAAACAAGTCTAAGTGATGATGATGCCACTCCACAGAATCTGAAAGAGCTTGCTGATTTGAGTGGTAAGTAATGGCAACTCTGACCCATGGGAACAGCTTTTTTAAAAAAAACTTGGTAGTCATGATGCTGAGACCTCTACATCTGTTTTATAAAACGTGGTGTGAGGCAGCCTAGCCCTTTATCTCAGAGAGGTGTGAGGCTTGCTCAATGGTAATAGTTCAAAATGGATATTAACAAATAATTATTATAATGATTTCTGCCAACCTAGCAGTTCAAAAAAATGCAAACGTGAGTAGATAAATAGGAACCGCTCCAGGGGGAAGGTAATGGCGCTCCATGCAGTCATGCTGGTCACATGACCTTGGAGGTGTCTACAGACAACGCCAGCTCTTCAGCTTAGAAATGGAGATGAGCACCACACCCCTGAGTCGGACATGACTAGACTTAATGTCAAGGAGAAACCTTTACCTTTACTTTACTGTAATGAATGCATTTCACAGTAATGATTACTACAAAGTATATAATAGTAGTTTTCACTGCTAGCCATGGATTTCAAAGGGCACCGATGCATTTTCTTGATGTGAATCACCTTAACATTTGGAAGACAGTTGTATATGACTGGGAAGATTGTTACAGGCCAGGGGAGGGCAATGCATAGCCCTCTGGATGTTGGATTGCAACTCCTATCGGTCCCTGCATAATGGCAAAAATTAAAGATACTGTCCATCATTTGGAGTGCCATATACTGCCATCCCTGCTGTTAAGCCATTGTGGCCAGTCTACCCATGATTTAAAATCACTCTGCTCCATTACAGCTGGTAGGTCGGTATTTTTAATCTATCAGCTCTCCCAAACCTGTGGACATTCCGAATATTTTCAACTCACTTCTATGAGGTGTTTTAGAGGTGGTGGTTTCTCCCTTCTTAGTTAAAAAAAAGCAAACACTGATTTAACAAATTAGTCAAACAAGATCCCAGTAGAAAACATCATTGCCAATGTCGAATCAGCAATTTATCGCCTCCCAGAGGAGGAAGCAGAAGAAGTACGAGCGGAAGCAGCAAGGATCCTGAAAAAGGCAAAACTCCCCTCCAGTAACATTACTAGGAAGGAAAGAGAAGCCATTAGAGACCTAAATTCAGATCCTGATATCCTCATTCTGCCAGCAGACAAGGGGAATGCCACAGTCATCATGCATACAGAGCAATACAAGGAGAAGATCAGAAAACTCCTGGACCCTACTATATACAGAAAACTTAAGCAAGACCCAACTTCCAAAATAACCAGAAAAACCAACACTCTAATTAAAAACTCTTCAATCAACTTCGACATACGACAGCAGCTATGTAAATCGGAAGCCCTTCCACCCAGGCTTTATGGACTCCCCAAAATCCATAAGGACTCCACCCCACTCAGACCAATCGTGAGTGCCATTGGGTCCCCCACATATGACTTAGCCAAATTTCTTGCTGCACAGTTACAAAGCCACATTGGGCTCACAACACACTACATCAAGGATTCAGCCCACTTCATTGAAAAAATCAGCAATCTCAAGCTAAATACAAATGACAAACTGATCAGCTTCGATGTGGTGTCTCTATTTACCATGGTCCCAGTTGCAGACACCATGGCACTCATCAACCAGAGGTTCCCAGAAGACATCACGGCTCTGTTTCACCATTGCCTCACCACCAGTTACTTTCAGTGGGACAATGAATTATACGAACAGAAAGATGGAGTAGCTATGGGGAGCCCTCTCAGCCCGGTCATAGCTAACTTCTACATGGAACACTTTGAAAAACAAGCTCTTGAAACAGCAACCAAAAAGCCCACTATATGGTTCAGATATGTGGATGACACTTTCACCATTTGGAGCCATGGAGAAGAAGAACTCAACAGGTTCCTGGAACATCTTAACAGCATCCACCCAAACATCCAGTTCACTATGGAAAAAGAAAAGGAAGGAAGACTGCCTTTTCTAGATGTCCTAGTCATCCGCAAACCAGATCAACAATTGGGTCACACCGTTTACAGAAAACCCACACACACAGATAGATATCTACATAAAAACTCCAACCATCACCCAAGTCAAAAAAGAAGCACCATTAAAGCCTTGGCAGACCGTGCAAAAAGAATCTGTGAACCCCACCTCCTCCAAGATGAACTGAACCACCTCAACTGGGCTCTACAGGCCAATGGATACTCCACCTCAGACATCAGAAGAGCTGCAAGACCAAGAACAAGCCAACAAGAGTAAAGATGAAGATCCACCCAGAGGAAAAGTGTTCCTGCCATACATCAAGGGAACCACTGACCGCATAGGGAAGCTGATGAGGAAACACAACATACAAACAATCTACAAACCCACCAGAAAATCCAACAAATGCTACGTTCAGCAAAGGACAAGAGGGATCCTCTCACCTCTGCAGGAGTCTACCGTGTACCATGCAGCTGTGGACAAGTCTACATAGGGACCACCAAACGCAGCACCCAAACACGAATCAAGGAACATGAAAGGCACTGCAGACTACTTCAACCAGAGAAATCAGCCATAGCAGAGCACCTGATGAACCAACATGGACACAGCATATTATTTGAGAACACAGAAATGCTGGACCACTCTCACAACCACCATGTCAGACTACACAGAGAAGCCATTGAAATCCACAAGCATGTGGACAATTTCAACAGAAAGGAGAAACCATGAAAATGAACAAAATCTGGCTACCAGTATTAAAAAACTCTAAAATTGCAACAGCAAAAACAGCAGAGAGAAAAACAGGCAGGGACATCTAATCACCCTTCAAGAAGAGTTTGCTCCAGGCACAGTCAGCCCATTGTATGCTAATCAAGGTGGTCAGTTGAAAGATTCACACCTAGCCCAACTTACAAAAGCCTTTTGTCTCACCTTGGTCATTCCACAGATATATAAACCCCTTTTTTCCCAGCTCCAGCAGACCTCACCTCTGAGGAAGCTTGCCATAGATGCAGGCGAAACGTCAGGAGAAATGCCTCTAGAACATGGCCATATAGCCCGAAAAAACCCACAAGAACTTAGTCAAACAAGTATTTGCTGGCTTGCTAGAAGTAATTAATTGGAAATAAATTTGACTGCATTTTCTATCATGAGCAATTGGACCTGATATTACTGGGAAAACAATGGCTGATCCCCTGTTCACAACATCAGCATACATACTGTACCCTTCCCTTATATGTGTGGGTGTCCTCTTTGGGAATTGTGGAGTATGGCATTCCCTTCTTCTCTCTGCAGCATCCAAAGCCTCATCCCCAGATTTATTGAAAGCCTGAGCAATACAGGATTGCAGCACTTGTATCAGTGAAAGTTATTTGGATAACTAACATATTGTATTCTTTTTACCTTTAAGATAACTCAGCCATGTGGCCAGCAGAAAAACTTCCAAGGAAGCCTGGTTTTGATAATGAACTGCAGGAAGTGTCTAGGCTGTCAAGTGAACTATTTCCTCTAGATGCATCCTCAGTCCTTGATATGGATGTGAGTAGTTTCAGAAAGGTCCTGGAGCACAGCACGGAGGATGAAGCCATCATTGAAACGTTGCTAGATATGGAAGAGGAATATAGACTGAACAGCTCCACCTTGCACCAGCTGCACTAAAGAGGCTGGTGTGAGGTGTGAGCTATCTTCATTTTAAGATTGGATAGTAGCATGTCCGAACCATGCAAAAACTGGCAAACAATCCAGCATGTTACATGATGCACTAATAAACTAAATAACTTAAAATACGATGTGAAGCTGCAGTATTTTAAATGAATAGTGAACTTTGTTTGGGTATTTGTGTTCTCAAAATCCCAACTGAAAGTGTGGTCAACATTTTACTGTACAGGGAAGCTAGACATGCCAACACTTGCCCTTCACACACAAAAATAACCATCTTCCTGAGTTTAGAGGAAAAACAGCTGTGCACATCCACTTTTTTGCTTTAGTTATCAAATATTACATGTCTACAAAATGTAAAAATAATCAGAATACTCAGTTTTGCTGAAGTTGTCCTAGTGGCCATGGAAATAAATGTTCTAAAACTCATTACCTTGCAAACATTTGATGCTGTTAAAGGGATGAAGGTCTTTCTTCCATTAGGAGGAGAAGACTGCCTCTGATGGAAAGACACTGACCACTTTGAATAAATAAATAAATAAATAAATAGCAAGGTCAGTGTTTTCAGAAATGCAGACAAGGATTTTTGTTCTAGTTTCTCAAAGAGATTGCTCTCTCCTTTTTACAAAATATCCATTCTTAATTTAGTCACTGCTTTCACTTAAACATCTTCTATTTAGCATTATAACCAGTGCTTGTTCTAAAACTCAATGAAAGATGGTGCAAATCCTATTTAGATCTATTTGGGCAGTCAACCTAATTTCATGTAACATGTGAAAGGCCAATACTATGGGGTGAATTTTGCTCACTTGTGGCTCTGACCACCATTCCCTATGGGGGAAGTATGTGTCTGTGAAAATATGCATTTAAGATTGTAGTTAACAAAACTGCACAGTGAATATTAAAAATTACGGAAATGGCTGCTTCCTTCTCTTGCTCCATAAAAAGCCTGATGATAAGGAAAACATGTCCCTCTTCCTCCTTTTTCCTCATATTAACACAGACAGTGTATAGACAGGTGACTGGTAACTGACAGGGGAAGGGAGAAATATTGTTGGGAGGATTATATTGTCGCAATGTGCCCTATAGGGGATGGGGTCAATTTCACCATGCTTCTGCTCCAACAGACTACTATAGAGCTAGAAGAGTCCCTGTAACCGCAAGAGTGATGTAAGCATCCATTCTCAGTGTCACAATCAGCAGAACCCCCATTCAGTTGAGGTGCTGCCTGGCTGAAAAAGTAATTTTTGCATTAATTTTTAGTAGTTAACAATCATAAAAGTGTTGTCGAAGGCTTTCATGGCTGGAATCATCGGGTTGCTGTGAGTTTTCCGGACTGTATGGCCACGTGTTCTAGAAGCATTCTCTCCTGACATTTCACCCACACCTCTCTCTGGCATCCTCAGAGATTGAGAGGTCTACTGGAAATTAGGCAAGTGAGGTTTATATATCTATGGAATGTCCAGGGTGGGAGAAGGAACACTTTGTCTGCTTGAGGCAAGTGTGAATGTTGCAATTGGCCACCTTAATTAGTACTGAATGGCCTTGCAGCTTCAAAGCCTGTCTGGTTGCTGTCTGGGGGAATTCTTTGTTAGGAGGTGTTAGCTCACTCTGATTGATTCTTGTCTGGAATCCCCTGGCTCCTGTGTTTCTCTTTATTTACTGTCCTGTATTTTGTTAAATACTGGTAGCCAGATTTTGTTCATTTTCATGGTTTTCTACTTTCTATTGAAATTGTCCACATGCTTGTGGATTTAAATGGCTTCTCTGTATAGTCTGACATGGTAGTTGTTAGAGTGGAATCAATCAGGGCCAGCTAAATATATATAAACCTCACTTGCCTAGTTTCCAACAGACCCCTCAACTTCTGAGAATGCTTGTCATTGATGTGGGCGAAATGTCATGAGAGATTGCTTCTGGAACATGGCCATACAGCCCAGAAAACTCACAGCAACCCAATTGGAAAAGTGATGCCTAAAAGTTACAAAATCATGTATCTGGTTTACATTCTCATAACATTCTCATAAAAGGCAGTTTTCATCTTAAGCGGACCTTCCTCAGAGGCTTAGTGAGGACCCTCTCACTTCACGGAATGGTCAGCTCCCAAACCCTACTATTGGAAGCTACTGCCTCAAACATGGTTGGAAGGAATCATGGGATGACCAAAAAGCAATCTCTAGCCATGAATCAATCTATGGCTAGATATTCAAAAGTGCCTTTTGGTCAGCCCATGATAAGGCTGCTTTCTCAAGACTCTGTCAATGGACAGAGAAGAAAGTAGTTACTCACCTGGACCACTGAATTGTCTGTGTTCTTCCCTCTCTCCCAATAGATTTCCTGTGAGGCAATGTGGCTTTTAAGCAAAAGAAGGTGCTTGTGCTTGCTGCACAAATATTGTATTTCAATGCCGTCAGTTCTTGTTTCTTCAAGATACATGTGCAATGAACTATTCATATTGATAACCACATAATTGATTGAATACAGAATAAGGCCAACAGTTACTCTGCAAAGTTAGCATATCAGTTGTTTTTATTCTAACTAACCTCTGAGTGTAACAAAAGAAAGGGTACAGCTTCAATAACCTTTTGTCTATTGTGTGAGTTTAGTGTGTAACAACTAGTGCACAACTATTCTCAGCATTAGGCTACTAAATAAACGAGAACATTTTATTCAGTCAACCTAGTTAGATCTAGCATCAGGAATTTCAGGAATGTGCATTGTCCTTTGATTATATATACAAGCCTCCAAAAAAGCAACAGAACACAATTCATGAAGTATGTTAGGTCACAAATACACAGAGACTTTAGATGCCTGTTTGTTAAGGAAACAATAATGGTAAGGCCTCGAGCCTGTTTTCTAAAGACAAAGAATGGTTGCTTAACAACAAAGGGATTTTGCCCTGGACCAAGTGCATATTTGACATTCCAACATTCCAACAAATTATTAAGTGAAAGAAATGAAAGCACAAATGATTGGTTCCAGGGGCTGATGTCAGTGAGCGTGGAAGTGCAGAAACTCCTGGTTTTGTTACATATAAGAATGAGTTCTCAGTCTCTAGCCAAACAGATGAGACCCTGAACTTATGACCCTAACAAAATGGCGAGAGGTTGAGGTACCTTCTGACCAGTCCAGGACAAGCCTGTCTTCTCAGACTCTGCCTCCTAGTGGACAGAAAGGAAAGTGCTGCATCATCTGGCCCACTGGATGCCTACATTCTAAGAAGTCTTATAGTTATTTCATGTGGCAATTCTTTCACCTATTGAAAAAAGAGACTTTAGGGATAAATCATATACCAATATTTTCAAAAATATTAAGAGACCCTGACTGGATCTTAACATTGCAGATTTAAATTTAAATCTTGTAAGAATCCACAGTCACATTTGACCCCCTGCCCTGAATTTACAAATGCATCTTCTAATATAGTTGGTTAATACCTTCATGTTTAGTAGCTTACCCTCTGGCCTAGCAAGTCACTCTTACACCAGAGCTCCACTATGACTTTAAAACCATCAGATGAGAACTGAGAAGTAAGACTCTCATCCGCAGCTACGCAGCTCACAGAAATTCTGGTCATGTTTATTCTGTTCACCAATAAGAATACATTGTTGATATTAAAACATAACCAATTTAATGCCAACAGTAGAAAGACACTCAAAACATAGATGTCTGCAACTCTTCCTTAAACATGCCTTCGAAGCGGAGGTCCTTAGCCATGAGTTCCTCTTCCACGTCCTCTAGTGCCCACTGATGGTCAGTCAGTTCCAGAGCCTCCCATTCCGTCTGCAATCACATTAAAAAGCACTGGCATGGACAAACAAGTACCAACAATTTGCTGTTTCAATTAAATTTCTGTCTTCAAGTTAAGCTCAAATTCCTTATTAATTTGAAATACAAGGTGTCTCAATCTGAGGGCTAAGGTTAGCTTAGAAGGTTGTACCACAACACTGACATTTCTAACAACATATGTGGCTATTTCCAATTTCATGAGTCTCAGCAAAAAAGATCAAATATAACTTGAATCTTTTCTGAAAGTTTTTGTAAAACTATTTGGCACTGGGGCTTTGGAAAACGTTGTGAGCAGGTATGTCTAAGGCAGAAAAAAGGGTCATCATGGCCAGCAATTGCCTGATCTATCTAACAGGGCATTCCTGGCAAACATGCCCATAAGTACATACACTTATCTCAAGGAAGGAAGACCATTTTAGGATGGGAGAGGCAGATTACAGTGCTGATGAGGGGGATTTGCCAAAGAAATTGGATTGTATCTCATTTTACACACACACACAAATAAGAACCAAAATGCCTACTTCTAGCAAACACAAATTCCATATTCTGTTACAGGTTATACTCCCTCGGGAGACCTTATGGCAAAACTTTCACAGGGTTTCCTCGGCAAGATTTATTTAAAGGGGGTTTGCCTTTCCCTTTCCCTGAAGCCGAAAGAATATGGCTTGCCCAATGTTTGCCAAGGGTCACAGATGGGGTGTCCCATCATTTAAAATTTCCAAGCAGGGTCAGCCCTGGTTAGTACCTGGATGGGATATGGCCAACAAATACCAGGTAGTATATTTCAGAGGAAGGAATGACAAAACCCCTTCTGAGTTTCTTTGCCTTAGAAAACATACACAGATATTCAAAAGGCATTTCTAACCTAGCTTTCTTGGTTAGGGTTAGGGTGAACAGTAGATCCGCCTCAACTTGCTTGGTAGATTTGGCTAGAGCCTAATGAGGACTGGCCATTCTTGCTGAATCTCATAGCTGCCCTGCAATCATTATGTCTGCCCAAGAACACTGGTAGTTTAATCACTATTACTAATTTGCTACTCCTCAGAAAAATACAAAAAAAACCCCTTCCTATTTTGAAAATATTGTTTTAGAACAATGTTATTCAATCTCATTTCTATAGGTAGCTAAAGAATTTTTCAGCATAAGTTCTTGACATATATGAGGACAGTGTTTCTCCAGCTTTGGCCCTCCAACAGTTTCAAACTTCAGCTCTCAGAATCCTTATCCCTTGATCAAACTCATTTGGTCTCCAGAGGGTTGAAATCCAAACAACCCAAAGGACCAAAGATTGATAACCATTCTTTTAGAGTAATATATTTATTTATATCCCGCTTTATCGCCCCAAAGAGGACACATAGGGGCTTAACATAAAAGCATCAGCATAGCTATTTAAAATATATGAACATTAAAACAGGATTAAATGTAAATAGTATTTTTAAAATCCCAGTTACAAATCATTAAGGCAATCATAGACATGCTTGCTTTTATGGATCTTCCCTGCTCATTAAAAAATAAGAAAAATGCCACATGAAATTTGAGGGGCTTGTTTCAGCCCCTCAAATTTCATCTGGCATTTTTTTTTTCTTGAACAGAAGAAAAGGGGAGGGAACAGAAACTTCATACCTTGAAAGCTTTATTAGTATCTGCAGGCATCGCCATGGCTGCCCCTGTCATCTGCTCCTGCATTACTCTGGACTGATCTGCAGCTGTAAACACAACAAAGAAGGCCTTGTGTTACTTTATACTGGGATGAGAATCATGCAGCCCTTCATACTGCAAAATAGTCATTTCTAGCAGTCCTCACTACTGGTCAAGTTGGTTTGCGTACTGGGAACGAGAATCATGCAGCCCTTCACATACTACAGAACGGTCATTTCTAACAGTCTTCACTACTGGTCATGTTGGTTTGGGTATTGGGAATTACAATTCAACAACATTCTGTTGAATTGCAATTCTCAGTACCCAAACCAACATGACCAATAGTGAGGACTGCGAGAAATGACTGTTTGTTCCCCTCTTTTGTTTTATATAACATCAGTACAAAGACTATGAATTGAAGGTATTTTTCAGAATCAATACTGATCAATACTGTGCCACTCCCAGCAGGCGGACAGAAAGAAAGCACCTTTTAGCATTTTGCAAATGAGGCAAACACAAGAAATGTAGAAGCCTATCAGTCAGCAGTCTTAACAAGCTGAAGATAACAAGTATTCTGCCTAGTAACCAATAAAGTGCTCCATGCAGTCATGCTGGCCACATGAACTTGGAGGTGTCTATGGACAACACTGGCCCTTTACTTAGAAATGGAGATAAGCACCACCCCCTAGACTAGACTTAATGTCAGGGGAAACTTTTACCTTTAACCAATGAAGCATCGTACACCTTTCAGTAGCTATAATAACTAATATTAGCATCTGAGCCATGACTTGGAGGATACATTATAGTAATCTCAGTTAAGACAACAAGCAAGGAAAGACTTCATAAGTAAGAAGTACATTAAATGACAGCCTGCTGGGGCCATGTCTAATCCTAGCCTTCTATTGTATTTAATACTAATGACTTTGTAGTAGATAGACTACTACAGGTTTGGCTCAATCAAAATAAAATTTCTGAGAGGACTTCTGTAGGAAAGTGGCATTAGTTTACCTCTTTTCTGATGCACTTAAACAGCAAATAAGGGCCTTAATCCCACTGGCAGCTCTAACTAGCATAATCCCAATGAATCAATGCAGTTCATGTAAATGGTGCCTCACTGTTCAATAACTGGTTCAGTGGGTTCAGTGCAGTCAGGACTACCGCTAGAAATCAGATCAAGAACTTCATTTAATTCAAAATAAACAGCAATATCTTACCATTGTCTTGGCCAAGAATGAGGGTATAAATGCTTCGAAGTCCAAAGACATTTAGGAAATACCAAGATGCTGAGCTTACCCTAGCAAACCAAAGAGATCAAGTGTCACTGAAATAGATAAATGACTCTGCAATAGCTTTCATAGCATTAGATTGTGTTCCAAATGATATCTAACAAGAATTCTTACCAGGATGCATCCAAAGTAAGCAACTCAATACCCTGTTGTAGCATTGGTTTAAAACGCAGCGTCAAGGGAAAGGGGACTTTTGCTGCAAAAAGTAAGCAAACAAGAAAGCTGGTCAAAACATTGATTATGTATGTACATAGTACTATACAGAGGTACATAAATCAAGAGAAATCTTTAATCTTCTGCTTCATTTCTCAGTCTTAGGCTAAATTTCCATAGTCTTTGATTCTGCTCTCTTCCGTACTTTTGCATTCCAATTGTGTATGGTTATCAATATGTCCTGATTAGGGATGTAATCAATTCCCTCTGAGTTCCAGCACAGAAAATGTGGGTTTCTGCAATCATCCATGATTACAAGACAGTTCTAATGAAAGGATATAAGATGTTGCAGCATCTAAGAACATTAACCAATGAAAACACCCATTGAGTTTGGGATTACATCTGCTGCTACAATATTGGGCTCACATGCAATTACAGTAAAGACACCATTTTAAGTATGGTTCTCACTCACTCTAAGGCAAATATTATTTGAACAATGTGCATGCCAGAGTTTTCTCTTCTCTCAGTAAGGGGAGGGAATCTCACATTAAAGCAAATATAGGATTAATTTCATATTCTTTTTGAAAGTGCATGGTTAACCCCACAGGTTGGCTCCATGCTCTTCATTTTTTGTTTATGAGGAATAGGAATGCTGGGATGAGAAGGGGAAGGCTTATATCAGTGGTTCTCAACCTGTGGATCCCCAGATGTTTTGGCCTCCAACTCCCAGAAATCCTAACAACTGGTAAACTGGCTGGGATTTCTGGGAGTTGTAGGCAAAAACACCTGGGGACCCACAGGTTGAGAACCACTGGCTTATATCATCTGAATTATCCTTTAAACTGAAGAGCTCGGATTACCACCCTTGCTGGAGACACAATAAAAGCTTTGTATGCAAAGTCCTGCAGCAGGATTTAAACTTAGCTCAGATTGGCCTATGACGTCCTAATTATTTCAAGAAAATTTGCACAGGATGCCCCAATGTCACCATGTCACAAAGGAGTGAAAATACACGGCCAAGGTTATTTTTTCAGTCTCTGACACCCTTTTATACCAATCACAAGAAATTCCACCAAAAACTATGGTGACAGAATGCTAACCTAACTGACTAGTTGCCAATATGTCGCATAGAGTTTACCCCCAAAGTCTGTAGTCTAGTCAGGACAAACAATAGTATTTATTTTTCACAGACAAGGATCAGAACGGATAAATAGTGACTTGTTCAACACCACATAATGCTGACTCAAATATTCCAGTTCAAAGCTTTATCAATTGTTAGGACATTATAAACTTTTGTTTGATAAATGTCAAGTAACGCTAAATCAGTCTATTTAGGGAAGTAGTAGTGGAGCCCCCGGTAGCACAGTGGGTTAAACCCCTGTGCCGGCAGGACTGAAGACCGACAGGTCACAGGTTTGAATCCGGGGAGAGGCGGATGAGCTCCCTCTATCAGCTCCAGCTCCTCATGCGGGGACATGAGAGAAGCCTCCCACAAGGATGATAAAAACATCAAATCATCCGGGCGTCCCCTGGGCAACGTCCTTGCAGACGGCCAATTCCCTCACACCAGAAGTGACTTGCAGTTTCTCAAGTCGCTCCTGACACGACAAAAAAAAAAAAAAGGGAATTAGTAAAGCCGCATCATCAGACTAACTTCAAAAGCAAAGTATCTGCTTGCAAGAGACACACACACAGCATTCAAACAACTCAGATTTAGATTCCTAGGCTGATACTTACTTGTAACAAAACCTGAGAAAGTCATGTTGATCCAGCCACCAATTAAAATCATCGGCAGTACATTTGTTACATTCCCTTTCATCATATCAGTCAACATGGTTGGATCTGTAAATCAAACACAGTTCAAATTAATACATATTAAGACATTAGTTTCCTTGGATTTCTGAAAGAGCTTGTTATACCAGCGTGAAAACAAAAACAATTCTTAGAATAACTGAAAGATCATTTCAATTTAATATTGCTTTCAGTATTTAAGTTGCTGCTATGTAATGGCTATGGACTTTAGGTCTATCCAATCTTGACTAAAAAATTATGCAGGATACCTAAAGTACACAAGTGGCCCATCTCAGTAAGGGGTTCTCCAAGCTCTGCTTGAATTTAAGGCAGGAAAGGTCAACAAGACAACTGTAACTTTATTCTGAAAGCTAGAATTTGAAATAGCAAGGAAATCATTGCCACTTCCTGACTGATCCTAACAGTATTTTCATAAGCAATACTGACATGGAAGTGAAATTTATTTTGTCACCCCAAAGATTTTGTTTGCCATATGTTGATTTAGTGCTTGTTTTAGAACATAAAACAAATAATTGGGGGGGGGGGGAGAGTAAGGCCCACTCAAGGTTTCTTACCTGTCATTGGGGAAGGTGGTACTACCTTCCTTTTAGTTTTCTTAAAGAACCCTTCATCAGGATTATTGAAGTAATACTTCCGCATCAGAAATGACTGGAAGAAAAAAGCAAATTGCAACCAAAAAAGTGGACATTGGCTTCAAAGTGAAATATAATTTAGGCTGGAATTTTTACTGTGTGTGAACTTTTGCATACATAGCTATGCAGCAGAAGTGCTTAAAACCCCTGTTAAGGGAACTGCGGAAACGCACAATGGGATACCAGCAAGAGTGTCCCAATGTGTATCTGGCTATACTGATGTGCATCAGCAATCCCTAGCTGGCATCCCAATGCATAACAGTCATTTGGTTGGCCCCCTCGGGTAGTAACAGCAGCCTCTTGCTGAATACAGAGATTGCAAAGCTGATAAACTTGATTTCCCATAGATGCAAATCTACTTATAAAGACTTAAGTCCGTAAGTGAATTTTGGCTAATGGACTAGTGGTTGATAGTTCCATTTTGTATCAATCTTTCAGCATTCTGAAATGTTTGCTTAGGAAGCGATATCTGATCTTAGAATCAACAGAGTTAGAAGTCCATCAAATTCGCTCCTGACATTTATTTTTCTTTAGATCAGTGGCTTTCAACCTGTGGGTCCCCAAATGTTTTTGGCCTTCGGCTCCCAGAAATCCTTACAGCTGGTAAACTGGCTGAGATTTCTGGGAGTTGTAGGCCAAAAACATCTGGGGACCCCGGGTTGAGAACCACTGCTTTAGATGCTCATGATGTGCCTTAGAGACACATGATTTATACAGACATGGCAAAACGTTCTTACATTTAGTCCTGTTACTCAATGTCACTGGCAACTTGAGTAGCTAATTTTCTCTTCCCATTAACAGATGCTTTAATTAAGATATGCAATTTTGCAACAATGGAATGGTAATATTTTCTGCTTCTAGTGAGGCACTGTGGAAGTATCTTTCTGTCATTTGTCTTGAAAAAAGATGGAAGAAGCAACAGAAAAACATGGGAAAGTTAAGGAATGTATGCAATGTCTTCTAGAACACTGTGCATGCTATAAGCAAGGCAAGCAAACTCCACAGTCCTTGTTTGGAAATGCTCATTGAAGTTACCAGCCCAAAATGTCAACAAAATATATAATAATAAACTTTTATTTGTACCCCGCTACAATCTCCAGAAGGATTCGGTGCGGCTTACAAGAGGCCGAGCCCAAATACAATAGTAAAAACAATAACAACAGCAAAATAACTCAAAAAACAAAGAAATGACATTAACCACACACAATGATGCAATTAAAATCAATGGCAGGGCCAAATGTAATAACTAAAGTTGTAAAAATACCACGAATACACATATTAAAATGTATTTCTATATAATATACATATTAAAATGTATTTCTTTAAAATACATATGAAAATAAACAAAGAAGAGATTAAACAAAGGATATGAGTTTAAAATTTATGCTTCAAAACTGGCTGGGTAGGCCTGCTGGAAGAGATATGCCTTTAAATGGTTTTAAAATTCTGACAGCTCATTTAGCTATTGGAGCTCTTCCGACAAATCATTCTATAGTCCTGGGGCAGCCAATGAAAAGGTCCTCTGGGTGGTGGTCGCCAGTCAGATTATGGCTGGTTGGAGCAAACACCTCCCAGAGGGCCTTGGCGTACAGGATGGATTGTATGAGAAAAGGTGATCCTTTGGGTAACCTGGACAGAAAACATGTAGGGCTTTAAAGGTCGAAACCAACACATTGTACTTTTCCCAGAAACTAGCTGGAGGCCAGTCGAGTGACTTTAGGATAGGTGTAACATGCCAACTCCTAGATGTTCCTATAACCAGTCTGGCTGCCGTATTTTGAACCAAATGGAGTTTCCGAACTTCGTACAAAGGTAGCCCAATGTAAAGCGCATTGCATGTATCATGTATTCCACTGCCTTGGAGGTACTTCATTTCCTGTTCAAATGAACAGGTTCAGGCCTGTTGCATAAACATGTTTAGCAATGACCCTTATGAAAGCTGACAGTCCGAAAGAATCAAGTTTTCAATTTTAAAACACAACAACAACCCTCCATCCATAAGCATTATCACAGAAAGAAGCATACCTGCTTTGGAATGTATTTTCCATTTTCTCGCAGAACTCTACTTCTAATTAGAACTTGACTGCAAGAAAAAAGTCATTATTAGATATGTGCTTTAACTTGCAAAGTAGCAGAATAGGTACTGAGCAAATTTTCTAGATGACTCAGTTTAAAAATTGATTCTTCCTCTAACAACAGCTTTCAAACAGATAAAGGACAAAGATGTTATTCTTTTCCATTGATGGTGGATCTAAACATTTCCTTTTTGATGTAAAGGCTTTCTGCAGGAAAGCATAAGGAAGCTCAGAAGCATCTAAATACCATAACAATTAAGGATCATACTACTACTTGGAGGAAAAGTTGGGATTTTAAGTAAAAAAAACAAGGTAAAAGTGTACAAATAAATGTATATATGCAGCAGCTATTCAATCCATCACGGAAGAAGTATATTTCTGATATTATAATATATACACATTTCTTTCCAGTGAAATTAGCTCTGCACTGGGAAATCATAATGTGCGTAGTGATATTAAAAACCATTTTCTGCCTACTATCTCCCGCAATGTGCTGTACAGTAAAATTACAATATAAAAAAACAGAAATATATATTATTGAAAACAGACTAGTCTGATTAGATTTTTGAAAGCAATTTCACATATCAAAAACTACTCAGAGTTTTAGACCCAAATAATTTTAAAGCAAATTAGATTAAAGCCATTAATAAAAATAGTTTGTTTCCTGGTCATGGCTTCTACCTGGATTTCAGAGGCAAAGCTGCAATCAATAGTGTTACCAATTATAAATATATGCACACACCAAGAGCCAACTGGAAGCCATGTACTACAGTTTGTAATATGCAATCTAATATGTTTGTTGAGCAATCTAACTCTAGATATTATAATCACATACTGACATCAATCTCTGTAGCCTTTAATTACGAAGAACAAATATTCAGTTGGAAGAATCTCTTACCTGTCTGACACTTGCTCCTGTGTGAGCTTTTTATCACTCTGGAGCAAAATGGACACATAATGACGAATCATCCCCACAAAAAATGTTATGAAGACTATGGGGAGGACCACCCATAGTCGAATATTGGAGTCCAGCAACAGCTCTGGTTCACTCATTGTTTAAATACAACTGTGGTCATGAACATCAGCGTTGATATTTAATACCTGAAAGAACACAGAATATATATATATATATATTGGTCGAGTCAGGAGCGACTTGAGAAACTGCAAGTTGCTTCTGGTGTGAGAGAATTGGCCGTCTGCAAGGATGTTGCCCAGGGGATGCCCGGATGATTTGATGTATTTATCATCCTTGTGGGAGGCTTCTCTCATGTCCCCGCATGAGGAGCTGGAGCTGATAGAGGGAGCTCATCCGCCTCTCCCCGGATTAGAACCTGTGACTTGTCGGTCTTCAGTCCTGCCAGCACAGGTGTTTAACCCACTGCGCCACTGGGGGCTCCAACACAGAATATGATATGTAACAACTACCGTAATCAGTCTTATAGTCATTTCTACAGCCACAGTATTACAAATAGTATGTCAGCTTCTTGGAAATTAAGTTCAAGTTGCCTTGAAAACATGGTTCATATTCTAGATCTAACAAATTCCTAAGAAGAGGAACTCCAAATATACACATGCCTATGGAGCCAGTGTGGCATTGTACTTTGAGTGTTCACCTACAACTCTGGAGAACAGAATTTGAATTCCTGCCTGACCATGACTGTATCTAGACTGTAGAAACAATGCAGCAACCAGCCAGGGCTTGAAACCGTAGGCCATTAAATGCTAATCAAGTGGCAAATTGCAACATTCTCACATACCTCTAGCAGACAAAAGTTCTCTCCTGAACCCTGGAGATTTCACAGATATATAAACCTCACTTACTTAGTTTCCAACAGACTCCGCAACCTCTGTGGATGCCTGCCATAGATGCGGGTGAAACGTCAGGAGACAATGTTTCTGGAACATGGCCATACAGCCCGGAAAACTCACAGCAACCCAATGCAATTTATTCCCACTTGAACTGCTATGGCTCAACCCTATGGAATCATGGGAGTTGTAGTTTTAGAAAGCCTTGAGATGCCTCTGCCAAACAGTGCTGGTGCCTCCGCAAACTACAGCTCCCAGGATTTCACAGCATGGAGCCATGGCAGTTAAAGTGGAGTCGCACTGCATTCATTTTACAGTGTCAAAGTGGCAAATGGAAACGCATAGGGTGAGCTTGAGCAAGTCACACTCTCTGTCTTGGGAAACACTGGGATAGGTTCATGTTACACAGAGGGCCCTTCTGGACAGGCCCTATATCCCAGGATGTGAGCTCAGGTTTTGTGCCTTAACCTGGATTATATAAATCCCCAAGGCCAAATAATCTAGGACAAACAGAAAATCTAGGATCGGGGCTAGGATATCAGGGCTGTCTGGAAGGGCCCCGCATCCCTATAAGTCTGAAACGATTTGAAAGTATAAGACAAAACCCAGATTCTTCTTTTAAAAAAAGAACATTCTAGCCACGTTTTAAAAAAAGCAGACCCTGAGGGTTGTGAGCATGAGCACTGAACGTTAGTTTTAATTGGCCTTTAGAGAAGCCTAAGGCTGGAGAAAATAGATACTTGGCACTAACAGACAACGGTCGAGGAGAAACGGCCTGAAGAAGGAAGGAAGCTCAGGCCCAAAACTTGGGATGGAAAGAAAAACTATCCAAGGATGTTGGCGTTTCTGGGGAGAGTGTCATCTGCCTCGAAGGGCCCCAGGGAGCCTAAGCCGGCCTTCAGAGGAGGGGTTTCCAGGGCAACGGGGCCTTTCGGGACCCTCCACGCCTCCCTCCCCGTGACCCCGAGGAAGGGGAAGGCAGGGCGGGAATTGGCGCCTCGCCTCCCTTCCTTCGGGGCACCCCAGGGGGGACAAACACCCCGAGGCTCCCCCTCTTCTCAGGAAAGGAAGCCCCAAGCCTTTTCCCCCGAGGAGAGGGAAATGCCGCCCCCCAAATGCGGCTGCCCCACTTGCCTCGCCAGCCCCGGCCTGGTCCCGTTTCACACTTCCGGGAGCATCGGGTGATGTCACGGAGCGCCCGGCTGTGCGCTGTGATTGGTGACGTCACCGCCCTGCGCCAGTGAGGCGGAGCTTGACGAGGCGGGAGAATTTGAGAGCGAGGCGGAGGCGCGGCTTTGGCGGCCTTTCCCTGAGGAAGGAAGGATCCACCGGGGCGAGCAGGTAGCGTGGCGGCTGACTGGCCGGCCCCTCGCCTTGGGCTAGCCCTCATCTGGCAAGTGGGACCAAAGCGTTAGAGGTGGGGGCTGAAATGTTAGGGAAAGGTTTCCCCCTGACATTAAGTCTAGTCGTGTCCGACTCAGGGGTGTGGTGCTCATCTCCATTTCTAAACCGAAGAGCCGGCGTTTTCCGTAGACACCTCCAAGGTCATGTGGCCAGCATGACTGCATGGAGCGCCTTTACCTTCCCGCCGGAGCGGTACCTATTGATCTACTCACATTTGCATGTTTTCAAACTGCTAGGTTGGCAGAAGCTGGGGCTGACAGCGGAAGCTCACTCCGCTCTCCGGATTCGAACCAGCAACTTTTCAGTCAACAAGCTTAGCAGCTCAGTGGTTTAACCCACTGCACCACCGGGGGCTCTGAAATGTTACATAAGAGTAATATGTGATATAAGAGTAATACTAATAATATGGAACTCATAATTTTATGCCTTACGTGTTTCTCCTCAAGGCCCGAGGCAGGGTTGCAATATAGGTGAAGTACATTGATTAAAAAAATTAAACCAATCGAAAACACAAGACATAAAAACAAGATCAAAACATACTCAAATCACATAGGTCCCATCTACACTGAACATTTAATGCAGTTTCAAACCTATGGCACAGTGGGTTAAACCCTTGTGCCGGCAGGACTGAAGACTGACAGGACGTAGGTTCGAATCCATGGAGAGCGCGAATGAGCTCCCGCTGTCAGCTCCAGCTCCGTATGCAGGGACATGCACAAGGATGGTGTTGTTGTTCTTTCGTTCAGTCATCTCCGACTCTTCGTGACCTCATGGACAAGCCCACGCCAGAGCTCCCTGTCGGCCGTCACCACCCCCAGCTCCTTCAAGGTCAGTCCAGTCACTTCAAGGATGCCATCCATCCATCTTGCCCTTGGTCGGCCCCTCTTCCTTTTGCCTTCCACTTTCCCCAGCATAATTGTCTTCTCTAGGCTTTGCTGTCTCCTCATGTTGTGGCCAAAGTACTTCAACTTTGTCTCTAGTATCCTTCCCTCCAATGAGCAGTCGGGCTTTATTTCCTGGAGGATGGACTGGTTGGATCTTCTCGCAGTCCAAGGCACTCTCAGAACTTTCCTCCAACACCACAGCTCAAAAGCATCGATCTTCCTTCGCTCAGCCTTCCCTAAGGTCCAGCTCTCACATCCGTAGGTGACTACAGGGAATACCATGGCTTTGACTAGGCAATGGATCTTTGTTGCCAGTCTGATGTCTCTTTACTATTTTATTGAGACTGGACATTGCTCTCCTCCCAAGAGGAAGCGTCTTCTGATTTCCTGGCCACAGTCTGCATCTGCAGTAATCTTTGCGCCTAGAAATACAAAGTCTGTCACGGCCTCCACGGTTTCTCCCTCTATTTTCCAGTTGTCAATCATTCTTGTTGCCATAATCTTGGTTTTTTTGACGTTTAGCTGCAACCCGGCTTTTGCGTTTTCTTCTTTCACCTTGATTAGAAGGCTCCTCAGCTCCTCCTCACTTTCGGCCATCAGAGTGGTGTCATCTGCATATCTGAGGTTGTTAATGTTTCTTCCAGCCATTTTTACTCCAGCCTTGCATTCATCAAGCCCCGCACATCGCATGATGTGTTCTGCATACAAGTTAAAAAGGTTGGGTGAGAGGATGCAGCCTTGCCGTACGCCTTTCCCATCTTGAACCAGTCTGTTGTTCCGTGGTCAGTTCTGACTGTTGCTACTTGGTCCTTGTACAGATTCCTCAGGAGAGAGACAAGGTGGCTTGGTATGCCCATCCCAACAAGAACTTGCCACAATTTATTATGATACACACAGTCAAAGGCTTTAGAATAGTCAATGAAGCAGAAATAGATGTTTTTCTGAAACTCCCTGCCTTTCTCCATTATCCAGCGGATATTGGCAAGTCTGGTCTCTCGTTCCTCTGCCTTTTCTAAACCCAGCTTGAACATCTGGCAACTCTCGCTCCATGTATTGCTGGAGTCTTCCTTGCAGGATCTTGAGCATTACCTTACTGGCATGAGAAATAAGGGCACTGTACGGAAGTTGGAGCAGTCTTTCGCATTTCCTTTTTGGTATGGGGATATAAGTTGATTTTTTCCAGTCTGATGGCCATTCTTGTGTTTTCCATATTTGCTGGCATATGGCATGCATCACCTTGACAGCATCATCTTTTAAGATTTTAAACAATTCAGCTGGGATCCCGTCGTCTCCTGCTGCCTTGTTGTTAGCAATGCTTCTTAAGGCCCATTCAACCTCACTCCTCAGGATGTCTGGTTCTAATTCATTCACCACCGTCAAAACTATCCTCAATATTATTATCCTTCCTATACAGATCTTCTGTATAGTCTCGCCACCTTCTCTTGAGCTCTTCAGCTTCTGTTAGGTCCCTGCCATCTTTGTTTCTTATCATACCAATTTTTGCCTGAAATTTACCTCCAATGTTTCTAATTTTCTGGAAGAGGTCTCTTGTCCTTCCTATTCTGTTGTCTTCTTCCACTTCCATGCATTGCTTATTTAAAAATAGTTCCTTATCTCTTCTGGCTAACCTCTGGAATTGCGCATTTAACTGGGCATATCTCCCCTTATCCTTGTTTCCTTTTGCTTTCCCCCTTTCTTGGGCTACTTCCAGTGTCTCAGCAGACAACCATTTTGCCTTCTTGGTTTTCTTTTTCTTTGGGACGTACTTTGTTGCCACCTCCTGAACAATGGTAAAAACAAGGATGGTAAAACATCAAAAACATCTGGGCGTCCCCTGGGCGACATCTTTGCAGAATGCCAATTCTCTCACACCAGAAGTGAGTTGCAGTTTCTCAAGTCACTCCTGACACGAAGAAAAAAAAAAAACCCAAAAAGCTGTATTGAAGAAAGTGCTTTCGCTGTACAGATGATTACACAGGAAATTCCGCAAACCAGTTTGAGGCCTAGATGGCAATTACAGAAACCACAAAGCTCTGATGCACATTAAGGGCTTTCTGTTACACACAATGGTGGGATCAAGGGTCTGGAGAACAAACTCCATGAGGGCTGGCTTAAAGAGCTGGGCATGTTTAGCTGCTGAGAGGAGACATGATGGCCATGGATATATATATGAAGGGAAGTCATAGGGAGAAGGGAGTAGGATTGTTTTCTGCTGCCCTGGAAACCAAGACGCAGAGCAATGGCTTTAAACTACAGGGAAGGTGATTCCACCTGAACATGAGAAAAACTTCCTAACTGTGAGAGCTGTTCAGCAGTGGAACTCTCTGCCCTGGAGTGTGGTGGAGCTCCTTATTTGAAGGCTTTTAAGCAGAGGCTGGATGGCCATCTGTCAGGTGTGTTTTGAATGCGATTTTTCTGCTTCTTGGCAGGGGGTTGGGCTGAATGGCCCATGAGGTCTCTTCCAACTCTATGATTCTGTTATTTGTTGTGTGGCAGCTGCAGTTTGAACTGCATTAAATGTCACTATAGATGAGGCCACAACACACACACATGTACAGACATGCCTCTCCCTCATATACATGGATTCTGCCTCCATGGATTCAACGAAATGTTGGAAACATTTTAAAAAATTTAAGCAGTAAACTTTGATTTTGACATTTTGTATAAAGAACATCAGTTTACTTTGTTATGTCTGTAATGGGACTTAAGCATCCATATGTAGCAGTGTTTCTCAAACTCTGTTCCAAGTGTTTTGGACTTCAGTGCCCAGAAATCCCAGCCAGCTTACTAGCTATAAGGAATTGTGGGAGATGAGGTCCAAAACATATTATGGTATCCAAAATATGGTATTCCTCTTTCTCTTTGTGACAACACTGTTTGCATGTTTTTAAAAACGTATCTTTCATGTGGATTTGTTTTCTTCCCCATTATGTCTGTAATAGGATACATCAGTGTCTATTGTCATGTATTCAAAACGAAAATTGTCAAAAACCAGTGCCCGTGGTGAAAATGTGATCGAAGAATTACCAAGTATGTAAAAAACTGTTTTCTGTCATTTTCACTTTCTTTGGCAAAGCAGAAAGCCTACTATAGTTTTCAGTAATGTCCAGGAAAGGTAGATGACAGACAAAGAGGGCTGTTCTTTGTGGTTTTTCCCTGTTGAGGAATGTCCTTTTCTCAATAGTTATGACAACTGAATACATGAAACTGTTTGCAGGCTCATAAAAATTACTTCCAAAGGAATGCTGTCTTTGCATCATAAATTTTGAATATTATTCCTTGAGTGTGGAATCATTTTTGTCAGTCAGGGACATCAGTAGTGAAGGGAGGAGGATTAATTTATTTTATATTTTATGCAGTTTATTTATTTATACTGTGCCTTTCTAAGGGGACTCAAGGCGACTAACAACCACAAACTTTGATCAATTCAAAACAAAGCAAAATACACAAATTAAAAAACAATTAAATAGTACTGCATGTGTTAGGTTAAAATACAGTTAAAATATATTAAATACAATTCAAATTGCCCCCTATCCTTCCCCAAATGCCTGTTGTCAGAGGAAAGTTTTGACCTACTTGCGGAAGACCAGCAGGGATGGAGCCTCCCACAAACAGGTTCATACCTGTGATTCCTGTGTTGAATTTCCTGTGTCTTATTATTATTATTATTATTATTGTTATTGTTATTGTTATTAACTTTATTTGTACTCCGCTAGCATCTCCCGAAGGACTTGATGCGGCTTACAAAGGCCAAGGCCTCAAAACACAACATAACAATACAACACCTAAAGCAAATTAAAAACAGTTAAAGCAATATTACACAACAAGCAATAAACAATACAACAAAGCATCAGTTTAGGGAGGTGTAGTACTGCACCTGGCAAGGAAGACCCCATATCCAAAAACAGTGAGAATATAGTAACC